TTGATGTAGTTTATATGGATTTTCAAAAGGCGTTTGATAAAGTGCCACATAAGAGACTTGTAAGCAAAATAGAAAACCCACGATATTAAAGGGACAGTGGCAGCGGATACAGAACTGGCTGGGAGACAGAAAGCAGAGAGTGGTGGTGAACGGTTGTTTTTCTGACTGGAGGGGAGTGTGCAGTGGTGTCCCCCAGGGGTCAGTACTGGGACCACAGCTGTTTTTGACCTATATAAATAACCTGGACTTGGGTATAGGCAGTACAATTTCCAAGTTTGCGGATGATACTAAGCTAGGAAAAGTTTAATGTGGAGAAATGCCAAGTGATGTATTTTGGGAGGAAGAATGAAGAGAGGCAATATAAGATGATGGTACAATCTTAAAGGGGTTGAAGGAACAGAGAGACCTGGGGGTTCATATAAGTAAATCTTTGAAGGTGGCAGGACAGGTAGATAAAGCTGTTAAAAAAGCATATGGGATACTAGGCTTTATAAATAGGGGCATAGAAGACAAACGTCAGGAAGTTATGATGAACCTTTATAAAACACTGGTTAGACCTCGGCTAGAGTACTGTGTTCAGTTTTGGGCACCACACTTTAGGAAGGATGTCAAGGCATTGGAGAGGGTACAAAGGAGATTACCAGGATGGTACCAGGAATGAGGAACTTCAGCTATCAGGAGAGGCTAGAGAGCCAGGATTATTCTCCTTGGAGCAGAGAATGTTAAAAGGCGATTTAATAGAAGTTTTCAAAATTATGAGGGGATTCAATAGGATGAACAAGGAGAAACTATTTCTACTGGTGAGTGGGTTGGTAACCGAGGACACCGATTTAAAATAGTTGTTAAAAGAAACAGAGGGGAGGTGAGGAAAAATGTTTTCACACAGTGAGTTATTCGGATCTGGAATGCATTGCCTGAAAGGATGGTGGAAGCTGATTTGATAACAACTTTTAAAAGAGAAGTAGATAATTATTTGGGGAGGACAAGTTGGCAGGGCTATGGGGAGAGAGCGGGGGAGTGGGATGGAATTGGATAGCTTTTTTCAAAGAGCTCTTTTCACAGACACAACGGGCCGAATGACCTCCTTCTGTGCTGTATAATTCTATGATTCTTTGATATATCATTATTATTCCGAGTTTAATTTCCTTCAAATTGGTGCTGGTGGCAAAGTCCATATTGGTTTTAGCTAAACGGTAAGGTTCCATAGCTATACAGTATTTGATAAGAAGTAATGCAATATATCTCAATACAGCTAGAAATAATATGTTAACGGTTAAACAAAATTTGAAATGATTACTCTGATTACTTGATGTCTTGGGACATCCAAATATAATTTTGTTGTTGTTGTTTAAGAGTCCTGTAGCTCAGTGGGTAGAGCACTCGCTTTGTAAGCGAGAGACCTGAGTTCAATTCCAGGCAGGGCGAAACCTTGGGCAAGTTTCCTTACTCCACACGCCTAATAATAATCTCTCCAAAGCAAAACAATAATGAATTGGTCATTTTCAATCCACGACTGTCTGTGGGACATTGCTGTGCGCAATTGGCTGCCGCGTTCGCCCACAAATATACAGTCAATTCACTTTACAGTGAGTTCTGTGAAGCGCTTTGGGATGTCCTCCCAACATGAAAAGCACTATATCAAATGCAAGGATTATTATTATTATTATTTATCCTCCTGACGTGAAAGGCGCTATGCAAATATAATTTTGTTGTTGTTGTTGAAGAATAAATTAACTTTGGAAATAAACTGATACATAAATGCACAAGTGAATTACCATTCCATCTCTTTCTTCTCAAGGACGATCCAATGTTACATCTCGTTTTCTTAGTATTTCTACTTTCCCTGCCTCAAAGATAGCCTCTATCATTAGAGTATCTCCTTCACTCTTCCAACAATAATAATAACTTGCATTGCAACTTTGGTATCCTTGCATTAGAATATCTGTTCTCCTTGTACAAAACTCCTCTGCCCGTCCCCTCTGTTTAGCTAACATAGGCCTTATGTGTTTTCCCTGCACCCTCCATACCACAATTGGTCGTCAAAGCTTTCGTCATTCAATCTTTGGAACTCCCTGCAATTATCCTTTCATCTTGCCTGCCCCCCCCACCACATTTATCTATGAATTCCACCGTAAGACTGTGCTTATGGCCAACCCCACCCTCCCCCTTTACTATTGTTTGGCACCCAAGCTCGCCACTATACAGCACTCCTACATGATAGCATGAGACATTACTCACATGAAGGGCGTGATGTAAATGAAAATTGGTGTTGTTGTTTTGAAGTGTGCCATATAAATGCAAATTTTGTAGTGCTTTATCATATAGTCTAATTGTTCCAAAGTGAATGAGCAATTTTATCTGGGAGATTGTTGGCCAGGACACCGGGGAAAAAACTCCCTTCTTTTTGTCAAGCAGTGCCAAGGGATCTACAACATCCATTAGAAGAGACAGATATAATTCTGTTTCATGTGTTATTTGAATGATGGCACTTGTGCCAATGAAGTGCTCCCCAGCACTATATTGGAATACCATCTTAGACGTGATGTCCTTGCCACCAATCCCTGATAAGATTAGTTCAAAGTCCCTTCGTGAGGCTTGAACCGTAGAGATATTTTAGGTGCTCCATCCAATACAAAGATGATTTTTTTATGTTTACAGAAGTAGCAAAATCAAAGATCATTCAATACCCAATATAACAAAACCAAAGGAAAAAAATCATTATCCAGCTAAAGTTCTTCATGTGAGCATATTCAACAACAACTTGCATTTATATTCCACACTGAAAACCAGGATGTGTCCTTTTTGTCAGTTACCACCATTATTGAATCTTGTTTAAGTCCTGTTTTTGGAGGCTTTGCTGCATGCAAATTGACTTCTGCCTTCACCTACAAAACACACACTCATTCCACTTTACAGTAAATCCGGTGAAGCGCTTTGAGATGTTCTCCTGACTTGAAGGGGGCTATACTATAAGAACCCTTGCATTCAGCACAGCTCCTTTCACGTAGGGAGGACATCCCAAAGCACTTCGCAGGATTTACTGTAAAGTGCAGTGATAGCGTATTTGTGGCAGTGTATTTGTGCGCAGCAATGTCCCACAAAGAGCCATGGTGTGAATGATTCTTATCAAATTCAAGGATTATTATTATTATTTTACTCTCTTGACCACTCCCTATCCCTAAACACAGTTTTAAATTTCTCTCACTCCCCCCGAGTCAATGGCATTCATTGATGCTTCTCAACATCATCCTTTGTGTTAGTTACATTGCTTGGGGTCGGTCTTGATTGGGCGATTTCACTGTGCATTCGCTGTGCACAACATGCAGAGCTGAGCTTCTCTTTACTTAAAGGCTGTGACGGTGACGCTGCATTCATGAGAAATCAATTCACCATTAAATCCCTCATCCTTTTCCACTGATGAGTGGTCGCGATGGTCCACAACTCATTTGCGAAAATGCAAGCACCATTCAGCCCTCAATGAGACACACTCGATACAATCTGATCATTTCACACATACACCCACGCACACATACACCCACGCACACATACACCCACGCACACATACACCCACGCACACATACACCCACGCACACATACACCCTCGCACACATACACCCTCGCACACATACACCCTCGCACACATACACCCACGCACACATACACCCTCGCACACATACACCCACGCACACATACACACACATACATACACATGCACATACACCCACACGTACATACACACATACATACACATACATATGCACATACACACACACATATGTACACACGCACATACATGCACACCCACACGCACACACATACATACGCACATACACCCATACATGCATTCATACCCACATACATACACACATACACACCTACACAAATACGCACATACATACACATATACACCCACACACACATACATACACCCCCCCCACATACACATACACACACATACATACACCCTCCCACCCCGCCCACACACACATGCATACATACACACACATACACCCCTCCCACACGTTCAGTGCTGTGATCTGAAACATTTGACTGCACGATCAGCTTCCAAATAACATAGAACCTCGTTGTCGTTTTTTAATTTAATAATATATATAATGTGTAATATTAAAAAAATCACAGACAAACAAACGGAATCAGCTTGAATAATAAAAGTGCCGCCAAAGGAGCAGGAGTGGGGGGGGAGGTAGGAGGGGAGGGAGTGGGGGAGGGGGTTAGGGAAAGGGTGGGGGGTAGGAGAGGAGGGGGTGGGGGTAGCAGGGGAGGGGGTGGGTGGAGGGGGGGTTAGGGAGGGGGTGGGTGGAGGGGCGGGTTAGGGAGGGGGGGTTTGGGGAGGGGATGGGGAGGGGGGGTTTGGGAGGGGTGGGTGGAGGGGGGTTAGGGAGGGGGTGGGTGGAGGGGGGGTTAGGGAGGGGGTGGGTGGAGGGGGGGTTAGGGAGGGGGTGGGTGGAGTGGGGGTTAGGGAGGGGGTGGCTGGAGGGGGGTTAGGGAGGGTGTGGGTGGAGGGGGGGGGGGGTTAGGGAGGGTGTGGGTGGAGGGGGGGGGTTAGGGAGGGTGTGGGTGGAGGGGGGGGGGTTAGGGAGGGGGTGGGGTGGAGGTGGAGGGGGGGGGTTAGGGAGGGGGTGGGTGGAGGGGGGGGGGGTTAGGGAGGGGGTGGGGGGTGTATGCATTTTGCGAGGTTTGGTGCAAACAGCTTTGTGTGTGTGTGTGTGTGTGTGGAGAAGCTGCGCACATCAGCGCAGCACAAGCCCGTGTGTGTGTGTGTGTGTGTGTGGGGGGAGCGGAGGGGGTGAGGGGAGGGGGTGAGGGGAGGGGGGGGGAGGGGGAGGGGGGAGACAGGGGCGGGTTTAGGGATCTACATCTTTGTATCTCAATCTCTTGACGTGGTTATGTTTCTGTTCTTTGTGGCGCGCTATTTATTTACGAAGGGACCCAGACCCGACTCACAGTCCGGCCATCACCGCGGGAGACCCGGGAGGACCATGCGCCCCCTCAGACGCAGCAAAATCACGGAGGGTCTGTCCGAGAGGTGAGTCACCGGGCGGGCGGCGCCGTGCCCACCCCCCGGCCCCCGGGATACCGTGTGTGGGGGGGGGGGGGGTTGGACCGGGATCTGGTTGTTAGCAGCTGAGCCAGTGATGGTGATGGTGATGATGATGATGGTGGTGGTGGTGTTGGTGGTGATGCAAAACAAGGAAACAAACAGAAAGCAAACACAGGGATTAAAGCCTCGTCTCCCCCTCTCTCCCTCTTCCCTCCCTCTCCCCCTCTCTCTCTCTCCCCCTCTCTCCCTCTCTCCCTCTCCCCCTCTCTCCCTCTCCCCTCTCTCTCTCCCCCTCTCTCCCTCGCTCTCTCTCCTCTCCCCCTCTCTCTCTCTCCCCCTCTCTCCCTCTCTCTCTCCCCTCTCTCTCTCTCTCTCTCCCTCTCCCCCTCTCTCTCTCTCTCCCTCTCTCCCTCTCTCTCTCTCCCCCTCTCTCTCTCTCTCTCTCTCTCTCCCTCTCCCCCTCTCTCTCTCTCCCCCTCTCTCCCTCTCCCCCTCTCTCTCTCTCCCCCTCTCTTCCCTCTCCTCCTCATCTCATGCAGTGCGATGGGTATTTGATCTGCAGATGGCTGTGTGCAATAGTGCAAACAATAGCTCAGGTCCCTGTGTATGTCTGTGTCTGTCTGTCTGTGTGTCTCTGTCTGTGCCAGTCTGTCTGTGTGTGTGTCTGTGTGTGTCTGTCTGTGTGTGTGTGTGTCTGTGTGTGTGTGTCTGTGTGTCTGGGGGTTTAAGTTGCTTCCGACTGGAGTTCCCTCTCCTGCCCGGGGAAAGGGTGGCATCGAGAGAGCGATCCATCCACATCCACATCCTATGCATCCCACCCATCGCCCGCCACGTTTAAGAAGTGCAGTGTGTGTGTGTATGTGTGTGTGTGTGTTTTTCCAGACAGATCAGTGCCGAGACGCCTCCCCTCCTTTCTCTTTGTTCGAGTGATTTGCACAGACACTGGGCGCTGAGCAAGTCCTGGATCCCCTCTGGCTGTTTATTGAGACATCAGGACCATTTTCACCCATCAGTTCTGAATGTAGGGGTCAAGGGCTTGTCTCTCTCCCCCTCCTTCCCCCCCACCCCCCCCTCCACCACCATCATCACCATCACCCCATCATCATCCCCCAGAAACATTGAAATCACTGAAAAAAACAACAACCCCAATGCCTTACCTCTAAGGCAGACCAACAGGACAAGGATACAGATAGATGCTGCTTCACTGCTGATGGATCCAGTTACTTGAATAAAATGCTCAGCAAGGTGTGGGCATGAAGGTTACCAGGCTTCAGTGTCGCCACTCGGTTCCCCCCAGTGAGATTTTATTTTCACCTTAGAGATAAAAGCCATCTCCTGCTGCATGAGAACCTCGCACTTGTATTGACTGCTGAGATGGCTATGTTGCACCTTTGTTCCACACTGCAAATGAGGAAATCTTGCTTCCCATTCACACTGAATGGGGAAATCATTCCACTGCATGTGCTGGAGAGTAAGAGTAGGAGGAAGCATCTCGACAGCAAGAAAAACAAGGAAAGACAGGAACAAAGAATGCGAGGAGCGCAAGGGAATATATCAGAGATACACACACACATTTTGACAACATTTTAAACCGGTCATTTTCGGGCAAGACGTTAAACCAAAGTCCCATCTGCCTCTCTAGGTAAGTGTGAAAGATCCTACGATACTATTCGAAAGAGAAGGCAGTTTCTCTCAATGTCCTGGCTGACAATCGCCCAGTCGAAATTGGTCAGTCATTTCATTTGCTGTTTTGAGTATCCCATTGTGCAAATTGGCTGCCGTGTTCGCCTACAAATACAGTCACTACACTTTACAGGAAATCCGATGAAACGTTTTGAGACATTTTGACGACTTGATAGGGTGCTATTTAAATGGAAGGATCATTATTTGAATCAAGTTTCTCTCAAATCAAGTTTGAGAACGGATTTCCTTCTTTATGTAAATACCAAAAGTCAAACACGATGTGTTGAATGGCTTTCTTCTACACTGTAAATTTGTAAATGAACTCACCAAGGACACAAGCAGTCAAATTTTATCTTAGTTTCACGTTTTAGTTTGATTTACATTTGCGTCTTTGAACACGTGATAAGTGTAAGAACAACAACATGACACATTTGCAATTCTAACATGCTTGTTGTCGTGGAAACTGCAAAGGTGCTCACTGATACTGACCTGGAATCTTTTGTTTTGCAAATAAGTTGTTTTAGTTACGGTAATCCGGGTACCCCCTTTCTTTACTTCAATCTTAATGTTAATATATTTGAGTTTACTTAACTAGTACAGTTAAATTATCATTCACATGAGTTAGAACCTTAAATGGTTCAAGTCAGCAGTTCTTTCAAAACAGTGTATTAATAAATAATGTCATTCAGTGGTTGAATTAAAAAGATACAAGGCAATTTTTAACATGCATGAATATTTTTTAAAGAACAATTTCTGCTGATTAAACTTCAAAGCTTTCCCTGGCTCACCATTGCAACCTAAAGTCGGTAACATTGTCACTAGTAAATGGGATTCTTTCCACTCAGCTCCTGATAATCCTGAAAGCCAATGCCTTAACAGGTAGAATGGTCCTAGCTGGACAGGCAGTAGGGAGTTTATCAGTGCCTAACATTTGTAAACTGTGAGGTTTTAGCTTGTTCAATTCCAATGATATCCCCAAAGAGCACTTTGGGATCACTTTGGGTTTTGCCAACATACATCTGGCTATAGAGCAAATAAGTAGCAAACAGAACTAGCAAACAGAAACTCTGCTTCTTTGGGTTCTTAGTAATTGAAGTAGAAATAATAGATTTATTTGTATAGCAAGACACCCCAGCTGAATAAAACAAAATCAGCCTGGACCTTTCTTACCTGCCTCAAGTAATGCCAATTATTGGAAAAGACATGAGAATAGGTTTGTCTTCTAACCTCAGTATATTGTTTAGCAACTGAGAGGTCTAACATAATTCTCCAATGGTTTACTTGGTAAACACACAGCCAAGTGCAGCACCTGACTCCACATACCCACGACTCCATGCTTGCCAAGTTCCATAAGCTCCCAGTACCTTTATGGATTTTAAGATCCTTATTCTGAGCTTCAGATTTCTTTTTACACTTGCCTGTCTCACCTATGAGAATCTCTCCGATATTTCCCTCCTGCCCATGCCTTCCATTCCTTTGTTGCTGGTTGATAATAACAATAATAGTCTTTCCATTTAATATAGTATATTTCAGGTCAGGTGGGTGGCTCAAAGCACTTCACAGGAATTATTGCAAAGTGAAGTAACTGTTATTTTTAAGGTGAACATGGCAGCCAATCTGCACACATCAATTTCATACAAACAGTCATGATGTGAATGACTAATTTTATATGGAGGATTGTTAGCCTGGATGCCAAAAGAAACTCCTTTCTCTTTTTGAGTAATGCCATGGGATCTTTAACTTCCACCTGAACAGGCAGACGAGACCTTGGTCTCAATGCTCCGAGACCCTATCCTACACAAAGGTAATATATAAGTTGTTGTTTAACATCTGATTCAAATGATGGTACCACAAACAAAGCAACCCCCTCCAGCTCTCATCTATTCTAGGTCTGAAATGTAAGCCTGGAATAGGTAAGTGCAATGTCCTGATGTAGGGATGATGTATTTATGATAATGATATATCCCCACTTGACTCAGGGCCGAGTGCTACCAAATGAGGCATGCCGATACAGTCTTGTGTGTTCCTCATTCCTTCCATACTTCATTGGTCCCTGAACCTCCAGCCAGTTTGCTACTGTCCAGTAGAAACTCTTCCTAAACCTTTTCACCTCACTTCCTTTCTCCCTACTTTTGTTTCCTAAAAACTTATCTTCAGGATAACTCTTTTGGTCAACATCTCATCTTCACTTCCTTTTCTGTGCCTGGGCCGCCCTGTCATAATTGTGAGACATTTTAAAATGTTCATTCTAATTGAAAGGTGCTATATAAATATGAAACGTTTCAGCCATAAACAGCAGCTCACAGCTTCATTTCCGGATAGGTCAGTATTTGGTTGCACTTCAGCTGGACTTAGTTTTAGTGCCTCTGGTCTTGGGAAGAAAATAATGAATTAATGTTTCTGGCTCAGGATAGCTGCTCTGTGACCCCCGCGAGACAATATGTCAGTGTTGGATAAGGGCAGGATCAGGCTCAACTGTGACAGTTGGTTAACCTGCTGACACTTACTGACTGGACCGACGCATGAAGAATGGGCACTTGAGTGAGGTGCCAGAAGGCTGCTGGTCCTCACAGAATTGTACCCTACAGAGGGAATCAGTGACTGCAAGAGGGGAGAAAATTGGCTTGAAAGAGGAAAACAGATTAAAAACTAGCACCCAGTTGTTAATGTGGTTCGTAATTTCATGTTTTTTCTTTAATAATCTCTCTATTTTTTTAATGAAATGTATTGCCTATTCACATACAATAATTTCATTACTCAATAGCATATTCATTTTAGTCATTTCCATGATAACGTAATGACTTGATAGAAAATCAAACGTGTTATTTAACAACGGGTGGAATTTTCTCCCTATCCAAATAAAAAATAATGGAGAGTTAGAAACAGGGACAATTGGAATGCTCAAATGCTCATGTATTAAAAATAGAAGTTACAATTTTTCACCCATCAGTATAAGTATTGAAGAGCAGTTTCCAAAACCCTTTTTGAAACCAATAATTAATAATAATAATAATCCTTGCATTTGATATTGAGCCTTATGTCATTGTGACATCTCAAAGCGCTTCACAGAATATATTGCAAGATGGGTTGAGTGTGTATTCTGTGGACAAAACTGGAAGGTGGTTAATTGAAGCTGGAAGTCAGCGTCTTTGTATTAACTCTGCAATTTTCATGGGGGTATTTAATGATGGTTTCAGTAATGTCAGGGTATTGACCAAAAGCACAGTCAAAGATGTATGTTTTAAGGAAGGTTTTGAAGGCAAGGAGAGAGGAAACCGGGCTAAATTTTTTTTAAAGCAATC